AGGACTGAGACATGTCCATGTGTCTCTGATGGACTGAGACATGTCCAGGTGTTCCTGTGATGGACTGAGACATGTCCAAGTGTCTCTGTAAGGACTGAGACATGTCCATGTGTCTCTGATGGACTGAGACATGTCCATGTGTATCTGTGATGGACTGAGACATGTCCATGTGTCTCTGTAATTGACTGAGACATGTCCATGTGTATCTGTGATGGACTGAGACATGTCCATGTGTCTCTGTAATTGACTGAGACATGTCCGTGTGTATCTCTGATGGACTGAGACATGTCCATGTGTCTCTGTGAGGGACTGAGACATGTCCAGGTGTCCTCCACCTCTCTGAGACCTGGATTCATTTAATCAAATTAAAATATCAGCTGTTCAATAAATACAGACTCTGTGTTCAGACTAGCCTTTAGCTCATCAGTTCTTTTGGTTTTTAACTTTATTTCTTGATCTGAAGCAGGTAAGATGTTAACTGTTTATAACTTGTCCAATGAACCCACTTTACAATAATAAAAAACTTTTTGCTCTTAAAGTTCAGTTTTCTGTTTTCTTCTCATAAAATCACAGATTTGACTGAAACCTTAAAGAAAAAAAATCTCCATAAAACCAGTAAATAATTAAAGGAGTGATGCTGAGTCATGTTTTCTGTGTGGAGTCAGGTGACTCANACCAATCATGGTTAAAACAAACTCCGCCCACACTCAAACTCCACCAATCATGGTTAAGACAAACTCCGCCCACACTCAAACTCCACCAATCATAGTTAGGACTACGCCCACACAGATAAACTCCTCCTATGTACGGCAGAGAGCCCACTTGTTTCTGACTGATCCAACATGGTGGCTGTGATCCTGTTCTGTCTGCAGGAGAATGATTACCTTCAGGAGTGTCTGGATGCCGTTCAGCAGGAGTTCATGATCTTCAACAGAGAAAAGTAAGAAAGGCCTGAATTTATTCAACATTTATTTAAAATAAATATTTCTGATTTAGTTTATTATTGATTTGTGTGTCTGAGGTTGAAAAGGCGTCAGGAGGAGGGGCCATCAGAAGCTGGGGGCGACGCCGCCACAGGAGACGATGACGGGGAGGGGGAGGCTGGACCCACAGATGAGGAAGTGCCAGAACCAGAACCGGATCCTGACCCAGAGCCCGAGTCTTCCTCCAAACTGAGCATGTGTGGCTCCGTGTGCTCCTCCCCCGGGAGCTGCTAGCCCCGCCCACAGAGCCAGATCCGTTCTCCCTTTTCCAGTCCTGTTGTAGCAAGGAGCAGAGAAAACGCACAGGGGGGACCCAAAATGGCTTCCACCAAGTTCCCGCTCTTTTCTGTTCTGTAGCATCTGTTGGTGAAACATGAAGCCGACGGTTCTGCTGACTGAGTCCACCTATAAGCTCTAAGTCTCTATGCAACACACCTTTATAGCATGATGTACAGACAGGTGGGTCAGAGACATGATGCTCAACACGCATGACCTCATCCTGACCTCATCCTGACCTCACCTGGACAAGGTGTGGGTTTAAAGGAGGAAACGTCTCTTATTCTGGTCTAACTCCTTGTGCCAAACTGGACTGAAAGATTCAGGCAGGATTTGTCTTTACTCCTCCCTTCAGCCTTCGACATGTGACAGAGTCCTGGACCAGGTCAGACAAGTTCCACTTCCTGTCCTGCACCAGGTCAGACAAGTTCCACTTCCTGTCCTGGACCAGGTCAGACAAGTTCCACTTCCTGTCCTGGACCAGGTCAGACAAGTTCCACTTCCTGTCCTGGACCAGGTCAGACCTGTTCCACTTTCTGTCCAGATCCAGGTCAGACAAGTTCCACTTCCTGTCCTGGACCAGGTCAGACAAGTTCCACTTTCTGTCCAGATCCAGGTC